TCTCAATAATATCCAATTCCCGACAGTCGCAAAAACACTTGCTCAAGTATTCGCCGAGAGGCTTCAGTGCTTGGCGTGTTTCCTCATCAGATGTCCATTCCTTCCCTTAATTGGTCTACAACTCCACAATGTCACTGCATCTTCGAGACGATGGTGCCTTCCCATCATGACATAGGTACTTTGACAGCTCAGTATCCGGCAGGTGGTGTGAGCTTGTAGCCCCTCTCAACTCATGCCCAGCGTGCTCCTTCCCATCCGTCGTTAAATTCAATGAAATCCGAGAAACAGATACGTACTGCCAAGTGCTCCATCCGCCTCAGGCACCTCGAAAAAGTGTCGTTGCGCACGTGACACTCCCTCACTCCCATTACTGATTGCGGCGCACCTTGGGAGATTGCAGAATATCTATATAATGCCCCGCTCTCCTCTCCCCTTTCCACTGCTTTCCTCTTTTTCTTCTTCATACTTACCTTGATGGGCGTCCTGGGGATCATGAAATCCGGTACGCAGAGAGGGATGCCTGCATTGCACATCGTGGAGCCCTCCTCTCTCGATAGTCCTTCGGGGCCATCGCTGTTGTAATTTTTGATTTTCAACCCTTTTCATTGTGTGCTCTGCCTGGTGCAGCGTCATGAAGAAGAGACTTCTGAATGGTTTTTTTGGTGCTGTGAGAACGTTGAGGATCAGTTGCGTGCTACTAGTGCTAGATTTGTCTCCAATGTCAGATGTCGCCGGATCACTTGAAGTGCGACACGAAGCTCCGTTACTTCATGATAGCTCCCAATTCTGTCAATGGTGGCGTAGAGGAAGCTGAGCTGTGCCAGACTCTCATTCAGGTAGTCGTCCATCATCCACAACGTCTCGGTGATCGTCAGCTAAGCTAGCTCGAAAGAAGCCTACCACGTCAAGTACGCGTCCTAAGAGCAAGCACATCTTGACTTCAATGTTCCGGCATTTGTAGATATTTCTTCCAACGGGGGCTACTCGCAATCTCTCCAGGTCTGCGGTCAAATTTTACACCTAATGTCTGATGTTTCTCTGCAGCAGTGGAATCTCTGTTTCTGCGTGGATTTAATCAACCGCCATGGAACGTGAATATTTGTATCAGGTATCGCGATGCTTTCATAGATGAATTGGCCTCCCTTGCAAAATCAATCCTCACCAGTTCCCTCATCTATGTCTCCGTACACAGACTCCAGCTGGTCCCAGCTGTCCTCAACTGCTGCCAGACACTAACAGCTCAAAAAGCTCCCTTCCCGAGCACCTGGCCCGTCGTCGTACGAGAAAAGGTCCCCGGAACAAGCCGCACCAATCACAACCCTCCAAAAAACCATGCAGCCCAGGTCCAAAGGGACCCATTCAATTCCCAGAGCTCCAAAAAATCTCATGACAAGTGCTTTTTTCGGCTTCTGCGTCGCCCCCGTCCCATTCCCCCGTGTTCCGAGCCAGAGAGAGAGAGAACGTAACGTCGCCGAACTCCCGTCCAAGGCCAATTAAATCGACGAGCCTCAGTTGCCTCCCGAACCCCCCCGATCCCATCAGTCCGCCGAGGCAATCATCGAGACTACAACACCTGCTTCGACCAAGAAACACCACCACAATGGCATCCAGAGTAGGCCCCCGGAGCGCCTCGGACGCAACGCGCTTCACCTCGACCACCCCGCACGCCGCATCCAAGAGCTCTCCCACATCAGCAGAAGCAGCAGCAGCACCGACAGGGACATCGACAACAGCAACAGCATCATCAACACCAGCGACAAAGTCACCACAGCCTCCCAAGATCCCCGGCCGGCAACCGGGCGAGAGCCCCGAAGACCGCGTCCGCCGCCTCCGCGCTGCTCACGAGGCGGCGCGCAAGGCCCAGACGTCCAGCCTCGACCGCGCCATCGGCGGCAGCCGTCGCTTCTTTGATGTCGCGCACAAGTTTACCGTCCTCGGGTTGGTCGGGTTTACGGGTACGTCTATAAAACCCCTCGTACGATTCTTGGAGCAGTGAGAATGGGCATTATCCACACGGTCAATTCGAGATTTGTCTCAAAGGAGATTTATGGAGGAAGAAGATGAAGCAAGAAGCGGAAAAAAAACAAAGAGGCTAACACCCCCAAAGCAATCGCAGGTCTCGTCTCCGTCTACTCCGTCTACGACATGGTAACCTACAACAAGCAACGCCGCACCGACTTCATCGAAGCCCAGCGCAAAATGGAAGACGACGCCCTCGCCACCGCCCGCCTCGCCTTCATCAAGGGCACCGCAACCGACACCCAAATCACCCTCGTCGAGGAGGCAAACGCCCTCGCCCGCGAGACGGGCGTCAAGCTCCCGCCCTTGCTCTCCGCGCCCACCCACACGACGGGAGCCGAAAAGATCTTTGGCACAGGCCAGCAAAGGACCGCCGAAGCTTCCTCGACGACCGTCGCTCCCGCCTTCCCCACAACTTCTGAAGCCGCACCCGCCCCGAAACAAAAGAAGAGCAGCAGCTGGTGGCCCTTTGGCGGCAGCAGCAGCAGCAAATCCGACGCCGCAGAGACCAGCTGGAGCGAGGAAGACGAGTCCTCCGGCGTCCGCGCCACGGACCTCGCGCGCGCCGTCGAGGACAGGAAAGAGTTCCTCCAGGACAAGGCAAAGGCCGCCTTCGAGCGCGAGAGGGAGAACCAGCGCCGAGGCGGCCCGCTGGACCAGGTCGGTCTCCCGCAGGAGGAGAAGAAGGCCGAGAAGAAGGGGTGGTGGTAGAGCAAACGACTGCTTACCAAGTTCTCGACGGCCGTTGTTATAATATGATACACGAATGAGGTGGGCTGAGGGAAGACGGCGAGGTCTTTGTATCTGAAATGTGACGATAGCTGGTGCACTACAACAAAAAACAAGTCGGCTTGGAAGGAAGTGTACGAGAAACGACAATCTCCACCCCTAGATAGAGAGTCGGAGAGACGGACACCTACGTCGGTACAAAAATTGGGGGCGAGTTGGGAGAGAAGGGATGGCAAGGCCGTCTTTTACCACGGCGAAGACGACGAAGAGGAGGGAGAGGGGGAGGAGGCTGCCAAGTGTCACTGTATCATACGTGTTAGACTGGATTGTGCATTAGACGGCGTCCGGCTTTACAAAGCTTTGCATGCGGGAAAGGGGGCGAAATAACATCACCTTCGTCTTTGCACAGCCAAGTTCCGTTCTACCGCGAAGCATCCCGTACCCCGAAACCCATGTTTACTCGGGTTCACTTGCTTGACACAGATACGATCATTTCCCGAGTATCACTCGTCATTCGATACACAGTCACATGCGTAGAACGGAAGTCTGACAATGAACAGCGCTGGCGTATTTTCGCCGCTTAATTATGTCCTTTGGACCGGTATTATGTACAACCGCGAAAACGCTTCAAGAATGCAGGCTTCCGCCGAGTCTCAAACTGCCACGCCGGGCCAGTTGACTTCCCAATCCCAAATCATGCTTACCGGTAACCTATGAACCGTGAAAACAGAGCTTGCCCAACAAGCCCCGAGCGAGTGTAAAGTATGTGCGCTAAATGTGGTATTACCGCAAGCCGAGACTCCCACGTCTCTGAAAACCCCCGTCCCGAAATCATGATTTCCGTGCCTACTCGACCGGAACACACCATCCTGATTGAATCAATGCAATCGCTTGTCGATCTTGTAACTCTTCAAAGCACCTTTCGTCAAACTCTCTCCGTTTTTGTTCTTCTCTAGGGCGATGCCTGTTCCGTTTGGGAAACATCTGCAACGCCAAATCATCGGGCAAAACGATTTCTTGCCCGTTCTATGAGACAACAATGTGATTAAAGTGGCCCGGCACCTTGAGGCGGCACTTTTCGCAATCAGCACGGTAACCGATGCTGAAGCTCTTCTTCATGCCAGGCTGCCAAGTCCACGAGTTGACAGTGTGCCTAGATCGAATGTGTCCCTTGCGTCCAGGCGACGGTGTTGCCGGTGCTGACGTCGTTTCAAGGGGAGCGGCGTCAATGGTAGTGGTGACGGGATCATCACTCATCATGTGTGAGTGGTCCTCCACATCCATCATGCCCATATCGTGATGATCGTGTCCGTTGAGAGACGACTGTTCCAAGCGGGCAGTCAGGTTGGACGGAAAACCGTTATCGAGGACCATTCCAGGGGGGCTCAGGCTTCCGCTGCCCAGATGGCTCACCGAGTCCTCGCCTTCACTAATAGGCGACGGCAGACGGCGATTCTGGATGCTGTGCCAATCGTCGGTGCCTTCCATGGTACGAGGAATGGAGCGGGACTCGTCGCTGCCGAAGCCGGCGTGCATGTGGCCCATATTCACTACGCCGGTACGATGGCTCACCGCGGGACCCGGGCCGCGCCAGTCGCGCGCTGAGGAGCCGCCATTCATGAATTGGGAGGCAAAGTTTGGCTGAATCGGGGTGGGCATACGGCCGTTGACAGAGGCGGGCTGGTCTGACTGGATGTGCTGCTGCGGGACAGGAGGCGGCGACATTGTGTCCATCATGTCCATGTCACGATCGGGCTCGGTCGGACCAAAGGGCGAGGGCTGGCAAGACATGGGCGCGGGTGATGACGACCATGGCGAGAAGTGTGACCTGGGTTGTTCCTCTGAGTCCGAGTCGCCTGGTGTCAGAGTGCAAGGAGCGGCGTTGAGCGGTATAACGGGTGTCGACCAGCGCTTCGAGGAGGTCGGCGATGTTCGGAGGGGTAGGCATTGAAGGCGTTTCTGTTTCCCGGGGGGAAAAGTCAGTAATGCTATTCCAGATGATCACAGAGAAGAGGGTCAAGCAAGAAATGGGCATGGCCTACGTTTCTGTGTTCACCAAAGCTCAGAGTGCCATTGTGCATGTCCTCCTCATCGTCACGTCCTCTCTTCCGAGTTAGGTCTGGGTGATGCTGGATTCCGAACATGGTGAAGGCCGTGATGGGGAGGAGGAGGTGTGGTATGGGTGTATGTAAATGGAATGGGATTGGATGCGACTTTGGTGAACGGCTAGCGGATGAAATGCAGAGGCGCAACTAGCGATAATAAGCGTCGAGACTCGGATATTGGTATGTAAAGTTGATTATGTCGTTCGGTATGTTGAAGAAGAGAAGATGGACAGGACAGGACAGAATGACGATGGATGGCACCGAGTGTGCCGTGGCTGCCTTTCTTCTGCTCGTGCACAGGCTGGCGGTGCTTGCGCTCGTACTGAGTGCTGGGTGCTTGCTGGGTGTAGGTGCCAAGTTGCCCCGGACTGAAGGTGCCGGGATGGGCGGGGGGGTGGTTGGTTCAAGGTTGTGGTGGCAGGCGCGGGCGTAGGCGAAGCTGCGGGTGCAAAAGTGACAGGCAGGCAGTATCCGTAAAGGGAGGGGGCCTCGTATTTGGCCTGGCGGGTTATTGAATTCTATCTGGTCGCTACTGCGTACTACTTCGCGCAAAGGGAGGCTGAGTCGAGTTTGAGCAAGATGATGCTGCGATAGTTGTAGAATGAGAGCGGAAAGAGGAGAAGAAAGATGGGAGGGAAGAAGCAGAAGGAGGAGCAAGAGTTGGGGACTCGGAGGAGGTTGACGTTGCGCAGTGCGTGGTTGGTGGTGGTGGTGCGTGGTGTAAGTCGCACCCGATGAGGCAAGGCTTCGATCTGCACAGCGCCTGTGGTCTGCGGTCTGCGGAAGCTGTGGACGGACGGTGGGCTGCCTGCAGTAATTCACCTGGGGAAGGACAGGATGAGGTGGGAAGATCCGGTGGCCTGGTCGTGATTGGAGATGCTGCAGTTGTTGTCCGACGCCAGCTTCCCTTTTGTTCTTTTCTTGGATGAGTCTCGTCCTGAGTACTGGCTGTGATGGACGAAGATGGCGTTGTATCTCAGAAGGCAAGGTAGGAAGGTATCTTGGAGAAACCAGAAAAGCCAAACCGAGTTGTCGGGAAGGGGGGCAGTCGCAGGTAAAGTAATCCGCCAGGGAAGCAGCGAAGCAGAGACAGGCAAAATAAGGTACTTTGTCCGTACATGGAAGTTGCACACAATGAAAGGATAGCAACTTGAGCACCTTCTTGCCTTGTAAGCCACCTCGAGAAACGGCGACACGAGGCAGCAGGAACGACAGAGACCAGTGACGGAAGCCTGCCAGAAAGCGGAATAGCGCAAAGACGCCACGAAAGGGGGGAAAAGCAAGAGGCACCAGGAGGCTCCTTCCTTCACACCTCGCCTCGCCTCATCTACCTAACGAGTAACACCCAGTACCTTCCTTCCTTCCCAATACCTAAGGTACCTAGAGCCTACCGGCATTCAATTCCCTCTTTCTCGATGTTCAATTTCCATTGGCAGCCTTAAGTCCCCGCCCTGCCTGTGCGGTAGGTACATCTTCAGGACTTCCATTAGCAAGAGGGAAGGCAGGAGAGAAGAATTGCAGAAAAAAAGGCCAAAGCAAGAAGGAGCCGAAAGGGCCCAGACCGTCAAGGTTCTTCCCGGACCAACGGTTTAGGGGACGTACCGCCTCCACTTGCACCCCTAAAGTTTTCTACCTTAGGCAAGCGCGCACACCCACGCAACCACGCACCCTCCACGGCAAGCACGACACGGGAGGTCGGAGACTCGGAGGTGGAGACAGGGAGGAGGAGGAGGGGCGCTAAGACGGCGCTAGTTCCACACTGCTGGAATTGAACCCGCCGGGAACCTGGGAAAAGAAAGGCAAGAGAGCATATGAAAGACAACAAAAGATCTTGTTCAATGGAGGGTGGTTGGGTTCTCATGGAATGTGATGGCGTCAAGTTGCGAGTTCAAAGACCGTAGGGAGACGAGAGCTGACTGCCATACTACACGTTGGGATACGAACATCGAAGAGCAATGCGGATGGGTTCGAGTGTTGGGCTGTCTTCCTGGAAATGAGAAAAAGACCGTGACAAGGCAATAACTTGGTCCCAAATCGTCCAAGCAAATTGGGGATCAACCACGACCGCAAGACAAGGACAGGACGAATACCGGGATCGGAGAATAAGAAGAGACATGCAACAATCGGTTTGCAAAATGCGAATGTGTGATATAGGGCATGGTAGCCTTAGAAACGAAAAGGGAAAAGAAAGCAATGGCCAAAGAGCTGCTATTCCTACCAGCCCAATATCCAAGTGACCGGGGGCATGTTCAACGTCCTGATACTTCCCAGTGTGAAGATATCCGAGTTTCTTTCTTCTTTCCAGCTCGCACCGTTGCTGGAAAGATTGTAGCATTTCATGTGTCGCGTGCCCATCTACCACAAACTAACATGACAACTTGCTCACCCCATCTCACAGACCAAACATCATAAACTTGCTCTCGCTCCTCGCGTCAAAACGGGCGGACAAAGTCCCCATCAGCTACACATCCCTGATAAAGATTTGACTGACTGGCAACTGCTGACCGACCAAGAACTTACCCTTTCCATCACCTCGTACCTGACCTCAGAAACCTCGAAAGGAGCAAAACGGCCGCTGAAGAAGACGAGGGTATCTGTGCCAAAGAAAGTTGCAGGGTCACGTACGTTCGTTCGAGGCGACGTGACCTTCTTGCCGCTGCATGGCGATTAGCTGGTTCGTCCCGCCTGTTCAACCTCTGGCACCCTGTGGCATGTTCACACATTTCTTTTTTGTGTCTTGGTCGTTGAAAAGAGGTATCTTCACAGGGTGACAGGACACTCTAAGGGACGTGATGGGCTGCGGTGTGTAGTGGTGTTGAGGGCTGCGTTTCAGGATTGCTTCATGAGAGGCCGGGGTGGGTAGGATGAAAGCGGTTGAGTGGGCGGGTTGGGTTGCACCACCAGGACTTTTCCGACCATGACGGCGGGGTCACGGGACTATTCGTGATCGCTACGGAGTAATCCTTCACGATATCCTTTTGGGGCGACTTGATTGTGGATGGGAGGCGAGTCCCTAGAGAAGATCATGTTGCGAAGGGTGTTGAACTTGAGTGGCCATCTTACGTCGTCGTTGAGGTCATCGTCTGCACCCAGGCTTTCTACATACCCGGTCTTTAGGTCTACTCGATGGCAGTGATCACCAGGTAAAGAATGTCTATCGGACTCATGTGTAGCTATTTCCGCGATGTCGTAGTCACGATCTAGGTATGAAAGTAAATAAGGCTTCCAGTGCGAAAAAGGCCAGCCGCACCTTTTCTCTTCGGCCACCTCGCGAATCTCAAAAAGCCTAAAGACGCGAATCGGCCCAAACTTGCGCAAGATCTGGTTCCACGACCTGAGCCATGCCGCAAACCTCGATTGCCAAGAGGCTCGCTCTTCGGCGAACAGCACAGAGCCGCAGGTTCCAACTGATGGTACTACCACGACCCTGCGTCAAAAGGCAGAATAAAGCAATGGCCAAGACGGAGCGTGAGGCCCGTCTTCAACCCAATGGGCCTTACCCTACCTGACAAAGTGTTTGGTCGATGATGTTGCTGTGTTTATAGATGATACATCTCACGTCCGCGTAGAATCCATTCATACCTACCCAAAAGTCGTATCAGAGTTGCATGTCTCAGCCGTTCCTTTCATAATCTCTGACGCTACGTCAGCTATCCGCCGTCAGGGTACCATCTGCGATAGATATACCTACACGGAAATGCAACTTGGGCATATCTGCCAAAATACGGTAAGTCACAATGCAGAATCCTTGCGTGTCCGGGCCATGAACGTGCGCCAGCAACCGCGCAGACGAGCACACAAGACGGCGCTGGTCCCCCGCCTAAACCCCACGAGTCGTTCACTCTAAAAGGCAATGATTGAGACTGGTCGGACGGGCCAGCCGAACGCACAGCCGTGCGTCCGTTCTTCTGAGGGCTTTGGGCTCTCGGTAGCTGAGTCACGGTTGACTGAGAGGAACGAGATCAGACGCCGGTTTACTGGTACCCCAAAGCAATTGGTGTTCTGCCACGGCTCGTTGCATACTGCCTGACAAGTTTGAGTGACAAGTGACAAGCTTGACCGTTTTGATAGGATTTGACAGCCTTCGTTCGCCAGTAATCATTAAATTTGAAGTTGCGGGCGCCTAATATTGAGCATGGTTGCAAAACATCACTTCACCACATCTTTCAGCCTCGTTCTTTTGTCCTCGCCATTTGTATACCTACTTATACCCGAAGGCTAGACCAGTTCCTATTCTGACGGAAACCAGCATATGATGATACCCATCCTAGAAGGAAATCTATTTTGAACAAGGCCAAGACTATGATCCGCGAAACGTGACCAGAACCAACGTCGATCTCTCCAAGGTCTCGGTCAGAGAGCCGGGGCCAACGGCGTGTGGGTTTCACCTCTATTTGCGGTCAACCAAAGCCTCGTTCACGGAGCTGTTACATGGCATTCTCGTTGCAAGTTGAAAGACGACAGCGGAGAACAGCGTGTATCAAGTCATGGTCCCATTTTCAGCCTTGTCCTTTAGTTGTCCCTCCCGCAGGAGGTTGAAAGTGGATTCGCCGGCCTCGTTGTGAGGCGGGTCGGGGCCGCGGGGGGCTGGAGGATGTAACGGCGCCAGGCGGACGCACCTGGAACGCTCACCTTAGGTCACCTTGGTCTAGTGCCGGCATCGGTACCCCACAAACCAAGGTGAGGCCTAGGTGAGACCGCGAGGGAATTGGCCAATGAGATGTTGTCAATTTCTCACAAAAAACTCTTTCTTTTCTTTTCTTTTCGTTTTTTTTTCCAACGAAAGAAAGAAAGAGGGGCGTTTAACGCTAACGGCGTCTCATCTCTGTTCAAGGCCTCCAACGTCAGGAAGCACATGTAACACAATTCTTTCTCTCGTCTGACATAATTAGACTCGATGTGAATATCTGGGTTTTTGTATAGTTCTTGAGGGAGCCATCGTAAGCAGGAGGGAGAGTTGTGAGCGGTGAAGGGGAAGAGAGGAAGAATATTTCCGCTGTATGCTGGTGCTGGTGCCTGCATCTGCCCACTCAGATACCCCTCCAAGATTTTTTTTCTGCCCCGCCATCGGCGCTTCCTGACTCTTGCCCACTGTTTAGCATAGCATGGTCTTCTTCACTGCGTCACCGTCGCGTATCGCCGTCACCCACTCCGCCGATGATTCCGTGGGTCAATTCTGGTCAGTCGAGAATGAGATGACTGGATCTGTGACGTCGATGGACCCAGAATTTGTGCGGACAACCTTACTTTGGAACGACGAAGATAGCAGAAAGTGACTCGCAAAGAGAAGAGTTACACAGTAGATACCCCGCCATATGATGGAAGTGAAGAATTATCCAGACAGAAAGAGACTAGACACACGTGGGACAAGAAGCGCCAACAGCGCATTTCAACGCAAATTGATCATGATATTGTCCTAATCAGGTACCTCCTGTTCAGAGTAAAGGAGGGAAGATACTTTGAGACCTCTCTCCGGCGGGATTGCCTCCGAAAGAAGCAGAGGGCTCCGCGTCCGCCGCCGCCAGTCACAAACCACACAAACACAGTGACCAGTGACACACACAAAGGGACGGGGGGAAAACAGCGTTTTTCAAGTGGCTTCATCATTTATTTTTTGAATTTTCTACCTGAACAAAAAAAAAAAAAACGAACCCACTCTCTGAGTCACCGCCCACCACAGTCTTCGACCAACACCCCCCCAAAAAAGGCCACTACCGGACGCTCCCCTTCCCCTGTGGACGAACATTCATCCTCCCACTCCTCCAGGCTCGGTCAACGACGGCTCAAGCAACGAATTCACCACACGATACCCCGTCAGATCCAATAGGCGAACGGCTGTTCGTCCGCTCTTCCTTTCCGTTGTTAATACCAGTGTAAGCTTATTTCCCTACCCTTGATTGGCTTTATGCCACTGCCGTTACGCGGCGGGAGATCGACCTCTTCGTTCAATCTGGGGAACCGTTTCGGGGTTGGTGGGTGGTTTTCGCGGTCAATCTCACGATGGGCAGCATCCACCATACACCACAACCACCAGCGGTGACGATGGAGGAGGGGTCCAATCGTTCTAGCAGTGCTTCAAGATGAGAGAAACAATGTCACTGACTAACATTGGTTCAATTTTGCAGTTTTCAAGATACCCCAAACCCATCAACACATAGCCAAAATGCCTGGTCTCGACCTTGAGCATGAGCCCCTCGCGGCTGACGACGTGAGAAGTGAGTCACTTTTTTTTTCTCTTCGTCTATCTCTCCAACACAAGGTGGATGAATGAGCCCACCCATCTTGGGAAATCTCACTCATGGACCCCCCCCCCCTACCGCTCTGCCCCACACAAGCTGTTCATCTCAAGCTGCCGTCTTCATTCACATCGAGACTTTACGCAAACTCGTTGTCAAACAATTCGACAATCAATCTCATTCTACCACCCGATTCACTCACTATCATTCTCACCAAACACCTTCATATCATACCTCACTCATCTCACTCGACTCGCCCACAACACCACCAGCACCACCACCCCTTTGAACCGACAGCCATCACCACAATGCTCAACCAACGACTAACGCACCCTCAGTCCTGGGACAGGATCCCCTGATCCCTCCCGCCCTTCTCTCCTCCGAGATCCCCATGACCGACGCCGCCCTCCAAACCGTCGTCCGCGGCCGCAACGAGGCCGTCGACATCATCATGGGCAAAGACGACCGTCTCCTCGTCATCATCGGCCCCTGCTCCCTCCACGACCCAGCCACAGCAATCGAGTACTGCGCCCGCCTCAAGGCCCTCGCCGCGAAGCTCTCCTCCGACCTCTGCGTCATCATGCGCGCCTACCTCGAGAAGCCGCGCACCACCGTCGGCTGGAAGGGCCTCATCAACGACCCGGACATCGACTCCACCTTCAAGATCAACAAGGGCCTGCGCATCTCCCGCCAGCTCTTCAGCGATCTTACGACTGCCGGCATGCCCATCGCCAGCGAGATGCTCGACACAATCTCCCCCCAGTTCCTCGCCGATTTCATCTCGGTTGGTGCCATCGGCGCCCGCACCACGGAATCCCAGCTCCACCGCGAGCTCGCCTCCGGCCTGTCCTTCCCCGTCGGCTTCAAGAATGGCACCGACGGCAACCTGGGCGTCGCCATCGACGCCATTGGTGCCGCGGCTGCGAAGCACCACTTCATGGGTGTCACCAAGCAGGGCCTCGCCGCCATCACCCGCACAAAGGGCAACGAGCACGGCTTCGTCATCCTCCGCGGCGGCTCCCACGGCCCCAACTTTGACAAGGAGAATGTCCAAAAGGCAAAGGACACGCTCACCAAGAAGGGCCAGAAGCAGGCCATCATGATTGACTGCTCTCATGGTATGTTTCCCACTTCTTTCTTTCCATATCTTTCACCCTATATCAAGCCCTAACACCACACAGGCAACTCCAACAAGGACCATCGCAACCAGCCCAAGGTCGCCGCCGTCATCGGCGACCAGCTCCGCGAGGGCGAAAAGTCCATCATCGGCGTCATGATCGAGTCCAACATCAACGAGGGCAACCAAAAGGTGCCCGCCGAGGGCCCCGCCGCCCTCAAGAAGGGCGTCTCCATCACCGACGCCTGCATCGACTGGGACTCCACCGTCGACGTCCTCGAGGGTCTCGCCTCCGCCGTCCGCGCCCGCCGCGAGCGCAACGCCGGTTCGGCCAACGGCAACGAGGACTCGCACAAGGTTACCCACCTTGAGGAGGAGTAAAGCAATCGTCACGTCTAGTAAAAATGACCAGTTTGTGATTTTGTGAGCAAAGAGAGGAAACACCCAAAAGAGAAATAGGGGGATGGAGGGGCTTTGATTGGATGAAATGGAACATACCAACCCCATATGCATAGCATTTGCATTTTTCAAGGCTCCAGGGAGGAAATCAAGAAAAGTGATTTTTTATGCGGTGTATAGTCACGGTTGCATGGGTTCATGATACATGCGTCCTGGGTTGCTCGAGGGCGCCGAGGACAATTTGGAGAGATAGATAGCTTCGCAAAACGGCTTCTTGAGTCTCCTTCAACTTTGTAAACCTTGGTGATGCCAACAGCTTGATGCCGTACCGTCCCGTGATATTCCTACATAAGCCTCACCCATGAACTTGAACCCAAATCATGCCCACCCAAACGCCTTTCCTAAACCCTAGTACCCTTTGTGCCAGATATCAAGTCGTATCAACTCGGCCTCGCAGGCGAAAGCTGGCTATAATCCCCCCTCCCCCCAGAAGCAGCAGCAGCATCAGCCGCCCTCTTCCCCTCCCGCAGCTCATTCGCCCTCTTAAACACAGCCCACCCCAGCAAACCCGATGTGCCCAGCAGGAACCCCCACACAATGACGCGGTCCTTGTTGCTGTCGCGCTGGAAGCACATGGTCTGAACGTCTTCGTCTTTAGCCTTGCTGCAGAAGTCGATGCCGCGGCTGAGGCAAAAGGCCTTTGTGCATTGCGAGCAGGAGGAGGAGGCGGCGCGCTTGTTGAGGAGCGAGGAGGAGGAGGTGTCGCGGATAGAGGGAGGTGCGTTGCCTGGTGGTTCGCCGTCTGCTTTTTGGGGGCCTAGGGCTACGATGGTGCTGTTTTTGAAGCAGGTGCATTTGCAGAATGTTGGTGCTGCTTGGAGGGGTGTTAGTATGTCTTTGTATTCGGTGTTGGGAGAAGGACTTGGCATTTGCGATGGACTTACAGTTTGCGCTGACGAGAGCGACGAAGCCGCATAGTAGCAGCAGAATCATTGATATCCGATTCATTGTAGCGAGCTGCATCCACTGCCGACCGGATCTGGGTTGTTTCTCGCGACGGCGCGGGAGGTAGGTGAAGTTGTCGCCGTCTTTGGCTCGCCGTCAGAGAGGTGACGGACGCACGAGCCACAGCCGGAGCGGATCAGGGACGCGACCCACATAGATGTGGCTTATACCCTCGCTGAAGTGTGGCTGAAGCTTCCCTATCTCTGATTCGCCGGCAGAACCCCAGCATCCAAAAAAGTTCAATTGGAGACTTTGAAGCTCCCCCTACCGAACATTGTGCTGTGTCTTTCGCCCGTACCTGGAGTGGAAGAGGAATATCACCAACCTTCAACCTCTACAACACATCACAACACTGTCGCCCACAATGCGTCGTGTACCCCGTCTCAGGCAGCCAAGCCTGCTGGCAGCCTCCCCGATCCAATGCACCTGCGCCGCGCCCGCCACATTCCCCATCTCAGCAACAGCATCACGAGCCCTCTCAACGACACCCGCAGCCCCTAGCCGCGTCCGCAAGTTCCTCTGGAAAGGCGGCGACGCCCCCGGACCCGAAGACCCCTACGCCGCCGAATCCTCCCAGGCCCTCCGCCAGCAGCGCATCGCGCAGGAGCTAGCCGAGGCCGAGGCCGAGCTGGCCGCCTTCGAGGCCGATAGCCAGCAGACGCAGCGGGCCGAGCAGAAGCGCCGCCAGAAGCCCCAGAGCCGGCTCGCGCACCAGATCAAGAATAAGCGCGTGTGGGCGCCGACGGAGAAGGAGGTCGAGGGAGGAGACTACGTGCCCGCCAAGACGATTGATGGGCTCGAGGAGATTGGTGGGCTTGAAGGGTGGTGGGAGCAGGAGGGCCGCTGGGGCAGGGAGAGCGAGTACGTTGGCTTCGCGAGTGCCGGTGAGGTCGTCACAGATGCCGATGTGTGCGCTGCGCGCGTGAGGCAGGCTGTTGTTGAGGCGCTTGCTGTTGCTGGGTCTTCTGCTGAGGTGCAGGGCCGGTTGACGGCTGCGTGGGCCAGGGGCGACGCGGAGGGCTTCAGCAGGGCGACGGCGCTGGGACTGAAGATTGGGGAGGATGGTAGCGTCTCTCTTGAGGGTGATGCTGCGGCGATTGAGGGCGTCGTCGCGCCTTTGCTGGAAGCTCAGGAGGCGCAGACCTCGGAGGGCGCTGTCGAGGCTGCCGAGGCGAAAGCCTTGGTAGAGGCATGGGGCGAAGCCTGGAAGAGCATTTCTCTCGAGGACGCACGATTCAAGTTTGCTGTAAGTCTTCCCCCCTTTACTAGCAAAAGGGGCCGAAACCATTTTAACACTTGCTGCGACAGGTCCACAAGCGCGTCTTCCAACTGACGGGCCACCGCGTCCACGACGCCAAGCTCGCGCAGATCAAGACGGTCGGCGACCTCATCGCCACCATCGTCAAGCCGCCCAAGCCCACAAAGGTCGCTGAGGCCATTGCCCAGCAGGGCGCGCTGCTCGATCTGCCCAACGTCCGCGTCCGCGACCGCCGCGTCACACCCATCGACAAGGAGACCGAGGTCGGCCGCTGGAAGGTCATCGAGGCGGAGCTCAAGAAGAGAGGCCTGCCCGTTACCGGACACAAGCACCTCGCCAAGCCGGTGCAGAGGGCATGGATCCAGGGCAAGGCGTAAGGAAAAAGTATGTGGTGGTGACGTTGGTGAGAAAAGGCGGAAGACCAAAAGGAGAGGGAAATGTGTCTGGTATAGAGGAGACTTGTACAGATATTGTACTCTTTGTAACATATGGAATATCAATGATTCTTGCTCTGATAATATTTGGATCTTGGCTATACTTTTGAGTTGAAAATATCTTCAGTAATACCTCTATCTAGCCAAGTTCAAGTCATGTTGGAATTGTTGCTCGGACGGGCCATCATCAACATGTCTTTATTTATTTGACTCTTCCACATCCCATCCATAAACAACGAGCAGTAGGCGTTGGCAGTTTCTACCTAGTCTCTGTCTCTCCCTTTGGGCCCGTTTGTTCACAATAGACATCACCGTTCTGCATTGTTCTTATGCGGATACGTGCAGAGCAAATACATACGGCCAACAAACAGACGGACCTCGACCGGGAGAGGTGTGTTTCGTGGCATAGGGCGTATTCTGTGATATTTCCCCATCGACCTCACCTTCCTTTCACAAATATGACTTACTTCACCTTCCTCCATCCGTCTGAATATTTCAGCCTTGCCAAAACATCACCATTTTCGCCCTCCTTGCCTCCTCCCCCTCTCAGGTCTCTGTCCTTTTCCACTTACCGTATCTCGTCACCTTCCATTCTTCTTACAACACTTTCCGCCATTCAGACCTGCGCTATTCTCGTCAGGCACTCATCGCACAGTTTCTGGCCGTAACTTTGCCCGGGATCCTTTCCCATGCATCACATTGCGCCAAGCTACAAAACTCTCCTTTGCTTTTTTCATATTTTACCTCTAATCAGCATATGACAAGGATCCTTCCAGGTAAATCATCCTGAACATCCTTTGCCCCTTCCACTGACGACTCATCCGTCTATAGAATGTCTTCACCTCCAGACATGAGAGGGTGGTCCCCGGTCATCAGGTTGGAGAGGTGGCTACACTGGGCAAGGTCTCAGAAGCTGCCCGTGTACAGGCAGTACCCGGAAAAGTCTGCAAGAATTGACAAGGAACTCAAATCAGTCTCCTGGGATTTCGATATGTCGGCTTTTCCTCGCCTTGGGGACCAAGAATGCTGGAAGCGTATGTACTCTGCACTTCGGTATCCGGCACGCAACCCCAACGAGCATTACTATATCAATGCACTCAACGCTGTCGATTGCGAGGTGTCGAGGATCCTTAACAATGGGAGCATGCACCAGACGCTCGTCGACTTGGCAAGGAAGGCCGGCTTCGACGCGCGCAAATGTTGCGACCCGTCGCTCTCGAAGGAGCAAAGAAAATATGAGCCTCCGAAAGGATCTCGGCAGATGGACAGTGCTGACGCACACACAAATGACAACCTGGGGGCACTCCCTTCCGGGCAAGTTGGTCTGCAGGAACCGCGCAACTTCGCGGCTCTCTCGGAGCTCTTGTTTCATCAGGAGGCCCTCAAAGAGAAGAACGAGGCTGCAGCTGCTTATACGACTCCAACAAGCGCTGTTGCGCCCTTGACCGGCAATGGAGGCGGCTCGCATCGACATGCGAGCGCGTCCTCTCTTGAAGGCCCCAGAACTGAGCCAAAGGCATTAGCAAAGAGTGCCACGATGAATGAGCACGTTCGCTTGCAATCGAGCAAACAGCCCTCGTCGGTTCAAGAGTCAGACGTTGCTGGAAGACTGTGTTCCGAGGGAACAATCAGGGACCTCACAGATCAAACGGTACATCCGATATCCAGCGACCCAGATTCGAAAATGAAAGTCAACGGATTTGTTATCCCAAAGAGACAGCGCGGGGGTAGCGTCCAGCAAGAGAAGGCTATAGCCTTTGCGAGGCCAGAGTCGAGATCAGCAACGAGCACACCCTCGAGAGGAGGGCCATCTGGTTCCCAACCCCCGCTCTCGAAGCAGCCTCCTATTCAGGCCCACACACACGCTCAGCGAACTTTGGAACAACAGACTCGACGAGAATCGAGTGGTTCCTTGAGCGGCTCTCTACCCCAGCATGGCGCATTGGCCAGAAGACCGAGTGGTACTAAGGGATGCGAACTGTCGACGCCGTCAACTCCACCGCCACAAGCCTCTTCCAGCAAAATCCAGCAACGCGGTAGTCTAGTAGTCAAGGCAGAGTCTCAAGAGCAAAGTGCTCCACTGGCAGAACACATGACGGCTAAGCAACCCGTTGTGGTCTCGACCCAGGAAAACACAACCCAAGGGCAAAACCTCACAAGTGCGATGACGAAGAAGCTTGAGGCGACTATCAACCAGAATCTCTTGGAAGCAATCCGAGGCGTCTACCGCAGCTGTCCCAAGTTGATGGAGGGAAAGATACGAGGATGGCTTGACGACCCAGAGTACCGCTCCATGGGATTCGCTGTTCTCCGGGACGTTGAAAACGAGACGACGAAGATGGTTAGAGAGTCTCTCGTCGCCAAGATGAGGGCCATGGAGCAAATTGTTAAGGGCTCTGAGAATCCGCATCAAGCGGAGTCACACCGGGACACCAAGCGCAAGGCTGATGAAAAGGATGCGGAAGGAGGTGACCAGAGTCAACAGGCTGCGAAGCGGCAGCGGGGCGACGGTGGTGGCAGTGGTTGTACTGCATGAGCTATGTTGGCAGACCGACCGTTTAGATACTGACAGTGGACAACCGGGATATGACATTCTCGACAACCGTGTTTGGAATACGGTCTAAGCTTGATTATGGATTAAGGAGGATATCCTATTGGGAATTGTTTGCTTTGGCGTTCGTATCGGATGGATTTGCCTTTTGAGGATTACTCATACCCCTTTGATGTATCTTACGAAACGACAATCGAGTCGATTAGCATGCATGGTTAGCCTAGTAGAACTCCTTTTGGCAGGGCTGAGCGAAGATTTAACCCAACAAGCGCCAACATCAAATGTGAAATGTCATACAAGTAGTCATGTTTCCTCACATCAGCAACACTGAAAGCTTCATTCAGCCCTGAAAAGGGCAAGCAGCTCAATTCTCAGCTACTCAAGTCATGCGTGACCGAACTCTAGTTCGGTATAGAGTAGGAAAAATTTCCATTCCCCGTTCCATCACGCGCAAGCAAAAACGCTTCATGCCATTCAATCATTCCATCTTCCTCGCTCCCGTCATATCAAGTTTTCGTTTGTGAATTGTTTCTGTAGAAGGGGTTGTTAGATGCGTATTTTCTTAAAGAGAGAATGAGGGTAGTGTGTGGAAGACGTACACTCAAAGTGGAAGTTGCCGTCGTTGTTGGACAGGCGCTCGCACAGGTTCACGTCGGCGTCAATGGCCTGGCCCTCAACGTTGAAGAGGCGGGCGCGGAGGATGGGCTGGTCGCCCTCGAACTCGAAGCGGATGCTCTCGGCGGAATCAGCGAAGCCTAGGAAAGGAACACGTTAGTGAATCTGCTGATTTGTATCATGGAAGGAGATACTGGTCAAGGGAGGCAGCCCGGGTTTCCCCAGCGAGATGTAGAGTGTGTATGGGAGTGCGAGGACAAAAGAGAGGAAGAGGAGGAGGATTTAGACGTACCGCGGCCACCCCAGTCGAAACGGCCGTTGTCGTTGCCGAGGCAGTCGTTGAGGTTGCACTCGGCGTCGACGAAGTCGCCGTTGCCGTTCTGGAGACGGGCGCGGAGGATGTGGCCGTCGTCGACGCGGGTGTCCTGGGCGGAGTGGTGGAAGTTGGACATTTTGGCTGATGTTTGTTTGTGAAGGTTGTTTTTAGGAGATGAATTGAGTTTATTCAGAGGGAAGAAGAAGAGCTGCGGGTGAGTGGGGGATGGGAAAGCTTTATATAGATGTTGAATGTCGTCAGGACGGGGGATGACGAGGGTAGGAGTGACGGGGCAGCTGCTTGTGGCTGGAACCTTATTCACATCAAGCTGGAGAACAGGCAAGAAGCTCGGGAGGGGCAAGGGGGGGTGAAACTGTGGAAGAGAGAGGCCTCCATTGTATTCACTGAGTACTTTGTCGTCTGTTGCAGACACGTGGAGGTGGGAAATGGCGGTCTTGAGACGAGGAGAGCGGGTTCCCATTGGCGATGGAAGCTTCTCCTTGGCCGGGACCGCTGTTCACGCCCTGCTTCTACCTCAGGGAACCTCAGGGAAGCTTCATGTTCTGGTCCATGAGCCTAGAGCTGAATCCCTCAGCCATTGGCAATATCTGGGCTCATCCTTGGCCCTGCCACTCTGGCCCTATAGGGAGAAGCTAGCTTCACGCCCATGAACCAGTTGGATCCGGATTGCTCACTTCCCATAGCTTCGGTTCGTTTCTGTGCCTAGCATGTCGTAACTTGTGACCTCTGGTTTCCATGGGAGGTGGTGTCACGGTGCTGGCTATGCTTGCTACGTAGCTCATGGGGCCAAGAGCCTCCTCCGCTGACAGGGGGGAGGGGGCAGGCATGGGAGCTTCCAGGAGAGCTCGTTGGTTGGACAGGGGGCAAGACGAGGCGAGGGTGAGGCTAGGCGATGGAGGGGCGGCGGGGTGGGAGCTTAAGTGGGATGGATGGAGGGGTAGCTCTGCTCTGGTTTCCCATTCACGTCACGGCGATGCCGGGTACGGATATTTCGTATGGCTGTACGGCATTGAGTGAATAGTAAGTCCGCGGCGTAATAGGAGCTACGGTTGGTACCTTTGGCACCTTTAGTAGACTAAGGTAGGTAGCTACTCAATGCCTCTAATGCACTCCCCACGCCATGCCTCGAGTCTATTGATGCCCTTCTTCTTCTTGCCATTCGACCCCGCCGGCACGAGGGTGCCGAGGGCTCGCGATGGGGGCCGCTTGGCGTACATGAGGGGACACGCCTCTCATGCAGGGTGCGACTGGGACAAACTGGGACATGTTTGGATACGGGGGAGCCAGGGACGACTGAGAGGCCACGAGAGGTTTCTCTGGTGTGTTGGATGACGCGGCCTGCCTTTTGTCTCTTGGCCTGTAGGAAGGAGGACAACATTGGGGTTCATTGTGGTCTTGCTCTATAAACACAGGAATGGGAAAGGGAAGGAATCATAGGCTGCTTTGAAGCTTGGGGCGTGGCATCATGGCCCGTGAGTGTGGAAGAGTCTGGGCAGAGGAATTGGGAGGCAGCCGCGCGCTTGCTTCGGCTGAAGACGAGAGGCGTGAGGTTCTTGGCGACTTGCCATGATCCGTGGGTTGCCTCTCCCTCTCTGGAGGCCCGCGTATTTGGGAATGGAGGTAGGTGGGAGGAGTAATTCTGGGGAGTGAAGTGAAGTGAAAGTAAACAAAGGCCAGAATCAAGCATAAAGTCGGCTTCGGCACGCCACGACTAACGCGCTACAGAGCTCCTCCCCCCTGTTCCTGAAGACAATTGGGCTACAGAAGGAAGTGGAGAAGTCAAGAATAGAGCTCGTCATCTGAGACCTATTTAAAGTCCACTCTGTGAGAGCTGCAGAAGGCAGTAGTCTCTTGGTGCTTCAGACTTGAAAGCATGACGCTGGAATAGCTCCAGACATGAGACCTTAGAGGCCTGCCTCTCTTGTTCTCACCACTGTAACAAAAACAGAGACAGAATGAGCTACCAAGCTTCCTCTTGGTTCCCGTTACTTGCTTCTCTAGCTCACGGAGAAAAGAGGGTGGAGGCATCGCGTCGCGGGTTCTGAACATGTCGTCCATTCATGTGGCATGAGGTTTTCCCTGGAACCACTCTTTTTTCTGCCCATTCGATTCTTTGGCCCCCCCAGCAAAAGCAGGTCCGACCTATCAGAGTCTTGAGAAGAACACCAAAACAGAAGTATTGGCGGGGAACGGAGGCCGTGGCCTGCGGCAAGGACCGATGCGTTCCGTTCGTGGCATCGCCTCATGGGGCCAGAACTCTGAACTCAGACCCCTCCTCTCTGCCTTTCTCTGTCTGGTTCCTGTTTCTAGTCCAGGGTCCTTGGGCTAGCCTGGGAAGCTTCAGAGGGCTGGAACACGATGGTACGCCACTGGCGTGATGGTCCCCGGTATATGCTGGCGGTCTGGCGTAACGATGTCGTCGTAGATGTAGCAAAGGCGTGTTTGTATTGGCTACTACGTACTCCATTGTGGTTGTCGTGGGTGATGTGAGGTGTGTTTTGAGTTGAGGTGACGATCTTCTTTGTGGTTGCACAGAGCACCAAAGCCACCACACAGGCACCATAGGCACAACTCTCAGGGGGTTTTCGGAGGGGTCCCAGTCGAGGGGGGAGCCAAGGCGGGGCGGGGCGGGGTTCGGATTCATCATAGGAGCGGTCAGAAGTTTGGAGGGGTAGAGAAGCAAGGTAGAGGGCAAGACTGGAGGTGAAGCAGACAGAGGATTGAGTGATCGAGACATTTGGCGACAGGCACGTTGACAGCCTTGGCCGGGACCTTGATGAGACGATCAAGGTTGACGCTATTGGCACCTTGAGGGGTTGGGCAGTTGTATAAAGAGATGGCTGTCGTCCAGCCTGCAAGATTGAGGAGTATGTTTGCTGCGAAGACAAGACGGTCCTTCAGCAATTCCTCCAGGCCACGAATAGTTCCAGTAAAGATCAAGAGCGGCAACAGTACATTCAACATCACCACGGTGGAACAGTGGAACAGAATTCGGCGTCTCAAAAGATGTATTGCTCAAGTGAGTGACTAAACATGCCAATAGGTCCATCGATTAGAAGGAACACTATCCGCCGATGCAAACTACCCATCAACCAAGTCGTAACCCATATCCCGAATTCAAAAACTCATATCGTCGTCGTATCGAGAGAAAGCGAAACCGCAGTAAAGCAGCAACGTATCACAGGTCGTCGTCAAGGGAAGAGGCGTTTATTTGCAGGAGGAGCAAGAGCAGCCAGAGCCGCAGTTGCCTGAGACAGGTTAGCGTCTTGGTCTCCAATGACTGACCGCCGACAACACCATTGCGGTCGCGGTGCGGTTGCAGGGGGGAGAGTAAGGTACATACAGGTAGAAGCGCCGGAGCAGCCGCAGTCACCCTTCATTTTGATGGTTGTTGGTTGGTTTTGGGGGGGGTTAAAAAAGGTGTTGTTGTAGTTGACGTGATGGACTTGAATGTTGACGTTGTGGAGATCAGTTCAGAGGCAGATGAAAAGAGGTAAGAAGCCGCGCACTTATATATCCAGAGCCTCCTCCTAGCAGCTCGGATAGTCACCCAGAGGGAGGGGACACTGGGAGTAGCAGGAGGAGGGGTCAGATGTCAGATGAGGGTGGCCAGATGGGACCGGATCGGGGGGCCGTCATTGGGCGGGTGCGCCGTTTGTGCGGAAACGCAGTCCAAGTCAAGCCAGCGTCGTGGCTCGGGACTGGCGACCTGTTGGCGAGGGGTGCCTCGGTGGGGTTTGCGCTCTTTGTGCGTTGACGGTAGCCAGTCGTCCTCCTTTTCTTTCGGGGCTGGAACTTGGCCCGGCATGGATGTCCATGGAATGGCCCATGGGGGGGGTTGAGTTGGTTTGGGGGAGGTCTTTTTGCCCTTTTTTGCGCCGCGCGAATCGCCTCGGCCGCCCAAACCAATCCTGGCTGACGGGCAAGACAGGGTCAAAGACCACTGTGATGCTTCCCAATTGTCAACCTTTTCTTATCTCAACGCATCGTTGCTGGATAAGGTTCAGGTGGGTTGCGTCTTTTGTGCGGGAGGCGCTAGGATTCGGCCATTTGTTCCTCAATGCATCGTTTGCAGCTGACCCTGGCAGGACGATGAGATGAGATTCGTATCTCTTGAGATGTTGCCGAAGCAGGTAGGCATCCCGTGGCATCCAGTCGCAAGTTCCAGAAGTTGCACTGGGGGATTGTGGTACTGCGAGACAGACGGACATCGAGAGACTGGCAGAGATAACGGTATGACGACGATAGCAAACGGTCCTCATTCAGGCAGGACCCTGAATCTTTGTCCTGGCGGCTGACGTCGGACGCACTCATGGCGAGGAGGGGTATCCCATCCTCTGCCTGCCCGTAAACCGCTGTGAGCTGCCCCAAGCGCAGCGCCAACGCTGATGGAGGGGCACTATCCGTAGCACTATGATGGAAGGGCGAGTGAGGGGTACCCGTGGCTGTGACGTCTGTCCTGTCACTCTGCGCCTGCGGTGTGTGTGGCTGTCTCGAGTTGCGGCCTTTGTGCGTGAATCTTCACCACTCGCTCTGCGATGTACCGATGTAGCTGAGACCCTTGGCCCTCGAGGCATTTGTGCCGTTATCAATTTCAAGTCCGAGATGCGCGCATGATCGGGCAATTCTGCGATTGATCGTCGCCTGCCTGGACGGTATGACGGAGCCACCTATCGACGGTCTCAGGTCTCTCTTGTGTATTCTTCGGTTCTTCTCCATCACTCGGTCGTTCTTCATCACCGCTTCTTCAGCAAGTTAGCGACCAGCCAGGAGGAGGCAAACCCCACCACTCAGACGGCGAACCCCACGGCTCTAACACCCTGGGTGCATTGACCCTCCTGCGTGTGTACCGAGTCCTAGAGTTGCTGCTGCAGTGCTGGACCTGCCCTGTTCCCGTCCCAACCACCTTTTCCTGTTGACTGGTGCCGCCAACCGCGTCGGAGTGTTTTCTTAGTCACGATGCTAGCGATTTCGAGGCTTCGAGCGGCGCCGTTCTCTTTTGGTGCCAGGTGCGAAAGCTGCTAGGCCATGCGTCCGACGGCGGATGATGTCGGTAGGAGGCGAACTTTCCTGACCGCTCTAGTCAGGCCCGATGAAGACTGACGAGATGAGACCTTTCCAACAAATGGAGCGTAACGTATGCCTACACGCTTCCGACTGTATTGCGCCGTGACCCGCCATCATTGAAGGCCGTGTGAGAGTCTACATCAGAGACGCTGCAGCAAGACGTTGATGACCGCTTCGGGCAACGATCGGCTAATGTCGGAACGGATGACATCGACGCACGTGCACCGGAAGCTCGGAACTTGTCGGAAAATCCGGTCACGTGGTCCATCGGCGTTAAGGTACTTTGGGAAAGTCGAGAATCTCCACCACGATTGAATGTCTACCTTAGACGTGATGGCATCAAGTTATCACAAAATCTGTCAGAGGACCAGAATAATCCCAATAGGCGAGGACGGGCCGCTCGGCCAAGCCATTCCGCAAACGTGTAAAGTAGGTCGCATGGGATTGTCACGCAAGTCCCCCAAACGATGCTGGGGCTACGTTTCTTCTCAACGTCAGACACCACGCAGAGCAGCTGCGACACGACGTGTGAGTGGCATCTATTCTGCAGCAAGTGGAGCGACAACGTTCATCAGACACAAGAGGCGATTGGGATATCTCAATGAATCAGATTGCATCATTTGCGCTATCTGAATGCTTCTTGCCCAAGTGATTAGCTTGACCTTTGTCTAATGAAGTTAATGCCATAAACCCACACCCAATGTTTCTGTCCAGAGACCTCCGGATCATCATCCCGAATCAACGATTGCACGCTGTTGCTGGCCTTGCTTGGACAGTCGAGCAGGAATATCAATCTCTTCTCTCCAAATCTCTCTCCAATTGGACGCCCAGAAAGCCTGACGCATCGCAGGAAAGAAGACAACCATTAGCCGGAAGTCAGTTCCGGCTCCATACTTCCTGGCCTCTTGAACGACTTCATGCCAGTCAATGTTGCCTCCAACGTGGACACTGACGGCCACGGTTCCGAAGCGAAGCTGTCCCACCTGACGTGCCCGGCAGAGAGAGAGGACAAGAGATTTCACACCTTCAAAGTAAGGTGCGCCTGTCATGTCCTCTCCGGTGTCTGTGGTATCTAAGAGAAGCAACTTCGCTTGCCGGGGCACCCAGTATCTGAGCAACGCAGCGCGTTCATCCAGTCCCTCAAGGAGCGAGTAGTACATCGCAATTCTGCTGCGGAATACTTCCAGGCCGGACAGGTTCCACGTGCTGCTTATCAGAGAGTGAATCTCTAGAGTAGGGTTCTGGCCAAAGAACTTGTTTATCCCCTGCTCAGGAAACCTTAGGCTCAAATGCTCGATGCAGGGACAACATTCCGTAATCGTGTGACCCAACTGGTCCCTTATTACTATGCCGCCATTGGAACTCAGAGAATCGAATTCGACAAAGAGATGCGTGAGCTTCGGGAATCGACTCAGGGCCCTGCTGAGAGTAGTGGCATTCATGCCCGTGGGCCGAAGGATGAGTTGCGTCATGGAAAGAGATGTTCCACTAATACTGAGAGGGCCGGATAGACCCCAATTGCCAAAATCGTACGAGGAAACAACTGCCTCAAGAGTCGGATGGGCGACGAAGCATTCCAAGACTTTGAACCCTGCGCCAAAAGAATAAAAATTCTCGAAGTGTGTCGAGCTAGGGAGCAAGACAAGCCACTTGAGTTCTGGGCAGACTCTCCGCTTCATGCCTTCGACGGAGTACGTTGAAATGGCGACGAACAGCATTGTCCGCAATCCTATTGTTTGCAATCTATGGGAAGCGGGATTGTTGTCTTGCACCTGAGAAATTGCGAGGGAGTAAATCCTGGGAACAAAACAGAGCAACAGACCAATCAGTAACCCCATAATGATTGAAAGGTTTAATCGACTCATCGCCGCGTGCTGTCTGCATAATAGCAGGATATGTCCCTCAGCATCCGAGAGCTTGCTTTCGTCGAGTATAGACTTATGCCACTTGTCAAAAATCTCAGGCGTTTTCATCTTGCTTGGGTCGTAGTAAGCGTCCGGGCCTAATGAAATGTCGACCTCGCGGATCAAGCGACGCAGATGCGGGGTTTCAACCAACGTTCGGATGAGAAGTACTAGTTGATTGTAATGAGTGTGCGGGAGCTTGATGGTGTGATATAAACCCTGTTGAGCTAACGGGAGTGTTCTCTGGTTTACGAGACAGAGAGGGTAGGCGTCTGCGCAGTGGTGGGAAATCATTGTAATGAGCTCGTTCGGCAGTGACGAGAAAGTAGCGCCCGCCATGGCTTTGGTGTCTAGTGGCCATGTATTCGTTGTAGATGTGCTTCTTGTTGTCGGACCGCTAAGACGTCGGGGCGGAGAAGTTCGAGTTTTATGATGGGATGATCGACTGTTGACAAGCGTCTTTTCGAAAGACCATCAATCGATGAGAGGGTGTAGAAAAGACTGCAGTTGTTGTGTTTTGTATTTGGATGCTGGTAGATGGGTGTTCTGTCGAGTGGGAGGTTCGTCGGAGAGCGCAGAAGTAAGAGAAGTGATAGAAGTGATGAAGATGGGCAGAGTGGACAAGACCGGGCTCGGTCAAAGAGGTAGTCGGTATGAGGTAGAGTGAAGCAAGCAAGAGAATATGAGATGCCTCTTTCCACCTGCGATGACCGTTTGCTTCTCGCTGCATGCCTGCCTTCCTCATCATCTGTATGGTGCCAGTAAAATGCGGAAGGAGGAACACATCGTGACCGCTTAACAGGTTGGAGAAGACTTTAGTCGGGTGGAAAGAACATCATTCTTCGCTCTGACCCTCTCACTTGATGACTGGCAAGAAGCATCTGTTGAATCCTAGAGTGGGAAGTCGTGGCCTGGAGGGAGGCAGCTGGACGATTCCCTTGAAACCCCAGCGGAATTTGACCAACACAAGGCGTGACTTCGTTCCAATCGACATGGCTCGAACAATATAGCCATGCGACAACACCTGAGATACACTGCGTATGATGATAACATGTGCCGACATCGCAGGTGTCCCCGTAGCGTCCCGGAGGAATTCGCCATCTCCACCATGGAGTTCCAAGTCCGCTCCGGGCCATCGCCGGACGCATGCCGGAAAGGGAAGTGGTGGGCCGCCAGCCGACGCCCTGACTGGATGGAGTTGCAACTCCATTGTGGAGAGTCGGCGGCACTGACCCGGAGCGGGATTTCTGTGGTCTCGAAGAAGGCTTTGTCGTCTGAACGAGCCTCGATTGTGTGTTATGACTGGACTTTGTGAGCTTTGGATGCGATTCATATAAGAAAGAGGCAGAATGCTGCTGGAAACTTACTCTCGGGAGGAATCCATCATTGTCTTCTAAGGCACCTCTCAACTCTCTTCTCCATCGTCAGAATCCATATCACGATCGTCTCGGTCTCAGGCGACTACCTTCAGTCATGGCACCTTCAAGCACTCAAGACCTGTTCGATGCTGAACATCTCACCTCCAAAAGCATCGACAAAACCTCTTCTGCCCATCGGCACACCGCTCCGGACTTTGAACTCTTCCGCCACCTGGTGCCCCTAGTCTCCAGCGGCAAGACAACACACCTCAACGCAGCCTTCATGCCCCCCTCAAATCTCATTGTCAACGAAGCTCTCTCCCGCTTCTGCTCGGAAGCCCTGCATCAGCCCTCTCCAAAATCTCGCTGGAAAGAAGATGTCGAGGCAGTTAGGGAACTACTGGGCAGGTACATCAACACAGACCCATCAACAATCGCCTTTGTCAGGGACACCACCGAAGGCCTGGGAAGCTTCATCCGCGGTCTCAAGTTCCAACCAGGCGACAACGTCGTGATTCTCGACTGTGAACATCCAAACCAAGCGTTCGCCTGGCTGACACTGCGTTCGACTGGGCTGGAGGTCAGACTCGTCCCCACAGACCCGGAGAACCCAGTTGCAGCGGACGCGAAGACCTTTGCGCCGTACGTCGATGAAAGGACCAGGGCGATCGGGCTGAGCTCCATCATGTTCCACACGGGACAACGGAACGATGTCGCGGATGTCTGCGGGGCGTTCCGGCACCGGGGAGTTCACGTTCTCGCGGACCTTACGCAACAAGTTGGGTTTGCTGCTGTCGGTGTGGAAGAATTGGGTGTCTCGGCGGCGGCGTTCAGCCTGCACAAGGGGCTCAACTCGCCAACTGGCTTCGCGGCGCTGTACGTCGATACACAAGTCATCCACGAGATGGATCCAGTGCCACCCATTGTAGGCTACGGAGGCGTGAGCAGTGTTGGCGACTCGGAGGACTTTGCGGTCCCGGAAGGCCCCGTCGTCTTCCACCCTACCGCGAAGCGATACGAGCACGCCAACATGAGCTTCATCTCAGCCGTGGCCGCAAGGGCATTTCTCCAGTTTTATCTGGAAGTGATGGGCCCCAGAAATCTCGAGCAGCGTCTGTATAGTCTTGGAGACGCGCTGCGTCAATCTTGCGCTGAATTGGGTGTTGGCGTCGTTGGGCCAAGCGAGAGGAAACACCACGCACCACATCTTCATGTTCTTCGTTTGCAGAACCCGAGGTGGCCTGAACGCTTGGAGGCAGCGGGTATTGTAGCGACAAAGTTTAGGACCGGCATCAGAGTCTCCTTTGGCTTCTATAGCAATCTGGAAGATGTCGAGAGATTGATGGCGGTGATTCGGGCAGGGCTTGAAAGCGGCATTCCACCGTGTTAGTGATGCGCGGCCAAAGGGGATGATGAAAGAGACAAACCGACAGCCTTGATTCTCGATTGACAATATTCTAATGAAATATATATGTAGACAGTCATCCATGATGATCTTTGATGACTTCTTTCCTGTTGAATATCGCAATCCTTAAAGTATTGACCTCCAGAGCCAGAAAGGCGATAGCGGCCTGGAGGAAAATGTTCTAGCGCAAGTGCCCTGAAAATTACAGTGAGAAGCCTCCCGCATCGGCGACATCCCATCGTCCCCTCAACTTCCCACCTCCATCAACCTCAACCTTCTCAAGCCCCCGTTGTCTCCGCCTGAACAATGCCTCCACACGATCAGGAAACATCTCTTAAGCCCACCAAGAGGATATCGTAAGCTGTAGTCTGCCTCACCGTAGAAAACATGTTTCTAAGCAAGCGAACAGTTGCAAGAGATGCCAGTACAGAAAAGTCAGTAACTTACAATCCTCTGCCCAACTCTTCGCTGAGACATCTCGCCAGTTCAAATGCTCCCGCACCGAACCATGCCAAAACTGCAGCACGTCCAATACGCCTTGCGAATACCGCCCTGTAGATCGTAAACGCGTCCCAGCCTCTCACGAGTACGTCGCGAGCCTCGAGTCCCGCATCTCATGGCTCGAGACGTTTGTTCAATCTCTCCGTGTCGCCACGCCAGAGCAGCGGGAGGAGATGCTCAACTCTACGGCAGCTGCAGAGGGAAAGGGCCATTCTCTTCCTAGTAGTTCTAACAAAGCTCAAGAAGAGATCCGGACGGATGAAGGAGCACCACTGGCACCAGGCAACTACATATCCCACCTCGGCATCCACGCCCGCTCAAGCGCAAACCTCGAGCTAGGCCTCGAAGGCTCCCTCATCTACCACGGCGCAACCTCCATCTTCCGCGTCGACCTCCCTTCCACCTCCAAAGACCCAAGGGATCCTGACAACACTACCGCCGCTCTCCTCCGAGGAGGCGGCATCGAAGCAAACTTCGAATCTGTAATGCAACACTTTGGCATCGACGGCCCATCCTCTCCCGCCGTTCTGCAGTCCCTAACCCAGTTCTTCCGCTGGCAATATCCGCACTTCATGTTCATCTACCGCGAGGCCTTTCTCCGTGACCATTTCAGCAATGACGACGGTGAGGGTGATGCCAACAATGGTAGGAATAACAGAAAATACTGGTCCCCCGCGCTGCTCCTATCTATATGCGCCCTCGGCGCGCTGGTCAGCTTAGATACAAAAGCCTCGAGTGAGCGATTTTTCCTCGCGGCGGAGAGCATCATCATGGTGACCGGGCTCACGAGGCCGAGCGTCGCTACCGTCCAGGCGTTCCTATGTCTTGCGCTTTACGAGATTGGGAGGGGTAATTTGTCCAAGGGTTGGGGGTACTCTGGTGAGTACGCTACCCAGCGAGAGTCTCTCGAAATACTTCGCTCGTGACAGGTGACTGACTAGACGTCTCACCAAGGAATCGCCTTCCGCATGGCCCAAGATCTCGGCCTCCAACGAGACCCCAAAGGCTGGGTCCAACATGACTCATCCCTCGCAACACACGAAGACGTCGAGATACGGAGGAGAATCTACTGGGGCTGCTACATCTCCGACAAGCTCATCAGTCTGATCCTCGGCCGGCCCGTGTACTTAGTCTACGATGACGCCGAGGTCCAGCCCATGGAAACGCTGCCGTTTGTGACGCCCTCTCCTTCACCCTCGTCTCCGCCTCCCGTCCTCGTACAATAGATGTAGTCTGTTAATGTCGATCCCAGGGAACCCCCCGAAATGAGTCTCTGGCGCCCCGTAGGCTTCGACGAAGAATACAGAGAATCCGCGCAAGCGAGCTCCATGATCCCATACCTCTACGAACAGATCCGCCTGTCGCGCATCATCGAGAGAATGATGTCGACGCTCTTCTCTCCGCGCTCCAACCTAGACGACCTCGGTCGACGAGTCTGCTTCGATAATCTAAACCTAGACCTCAACCGGTGGCGCGAATCGCTGCCCGATTTTGCAAAATGGCAAAAATGGGGTGGATCGTCATCGAAGACAATACCAGGAGTATTGGCGTTGCAGTATGTCGGCCTTCCATGATGTATGACCCTGTTCACTTCTAAAGAGATGAATTAGCCTCCAATTCCACAGTGTTCGCATCGCCTTGAACTATGATCAGGCCACTGTATCCCGGGGAAGTGACGCGGACGAAAAGCCGCAGTCTTATTGCGTCACATCCGCGCAGCACATCATTTCCCTGGTACGCACCTATCGAAGTCAGTATGGGCTTCAACATGCACCACTCGTGTTTGTATACGGCGCTGTCCAAGCGAGCCGCTCAGCCAAGGCATTTAACATCACAGAAGAGAGCCAGTATCTGATCCAGATCCTGGGAGAACTATCATCGGCTTGGAGCCTGTCAAGAGAAGTCATGGCCAAAGTATTGGACTGCTAAAGCTAAATACCCGCGAGAGTACACAAATCGGGCCCCATTCCCCATCCCGGCCTCCAGACTTGTTTATCCAGCTTTCACAGCAGTCACCATAGCCATCTGTGTTCTCCTTTTGGACCTCCACCCTTATTGATGCCAGCTGCCTTTGCACAGAGTGTCGTCATGATACCCCCTGCCAACCCATAGCTGCCATGTCTTCATCGGTGTGGTCTTGATACAATTCAAACGTTCATCTGGTCGAAAGACTTCGCCCACAAGGTCTTGGCGTCGGCGGCGGTGTAGACCCGGAGCTTGGCGTCGGTGTCGGCCATGGTGTCGTTGGCGACTCTGGTCCACTGCTTCGGCTTACTGTACTTGCAGCCGATGGCGATGGTGTCGAGACGAGGGAGGGGAATCTCCTCCGCGCGCGTCTCGCAGAGGTCTTCGATGATTCTCTTCACGTGCTCCTTGTGCGCAAGAACCGCGGGGGTCTTGGACGTGACTTTACCCGGGAACTTCACGGACGAAGCATCCAGGAAGAGCTTTTCCAGTCTGTCAGGAAGCTTCTCGGCAAGGTCGAGGTCGCCGAGGTGCTGGGCCTCGCGAACGAAAGCATCGATCTCAATGCGAAGCTCTCTAAGGTTGTCCATCTTGGGAAGGCAGGTCAGGGTAAGACGGGGACCGAAGAAGTCTTCATTGTTTCCGAAGAAGCGGATTGACAGGACTCGAAGCTCGGGGCAATACTTGGGCAAGACTCTGTTGATGTTCTGTCCAATCAAGTAGTTGTCTTTGTCTGGGATCGTCTCGACTTCGAGATGCTCAACCTTGGGGCAACGGCGGAGTAGAACGCAAAGGCTCGAGGCGGTCCAGTCGCTACCACGCAACAAGAGCTTCTTGAAGGGGAACTTGACGTCAGAACCACAGTGCATGAGAACGCTGGTCAGCTCGCCCTCGGGTCCCTTGAAACCGAAATCGACGAGCAGAGGCGAAGAAGCCGCAAGGGCCAAGGTGGGCTGAAAGACCTTGCCGAAGAAGGTCTGGCTGGATCTCTGGAGCCAGGTCTTGCTGATCAAGTCCAAGCTCACCAGGGAAGGGAACAGAGGCGAGTAGTCAAGGTTGTTGGACGAATTGGGCGCAAGAATGCATAGACCAGCAGTCAGAAAGCGGTCGGCAATGGAGAGGTAGTTGTCGGCGCGGATCGTGACGTGGTGAGTGTTCTCCAAAAGGAACATGAAGAGACCCAGAATACACTGGAGGTTCTCGGGGGCCTTGGTGCCGCAGGTAGCCTTGCAGAGGACAAGAAGCTGGCGATCACGCGCCGAAAGCTTGGAGTCATCAAGCTGAGTGAAAGAGAACTGGCGATAAAAGGAAGCCGCCGGATTCTTGCCGGTGAAGTTGTTCGTGTCGATGTTGATGAGCACGTCATGGATGAGCTTTCGGGTAGAAGGCTGCTCGATGAGGGTTCTGACAATGCATGCAAGCTGGTGGGGAGTCTGGATGGGGGTAATAAAGTACAACTCGCGACGCGCAATGTTGTGGATGCGCTTGCTTACGAGGCAGAGGTTGCGAAGGTTCTCGCGGCCTCCGCCCGCGTGATCATGGCAGAGCGTAGTGATCATGCCGAGGACCTCGTTGGGCATGGTATCGAGGTTGTGACGGTTCATCTTGATCTTGATGAATTTGCGCTGTACAATGACAGAGCGAGTAGCATCAGGAGCCGACTCGTTTTCGGCGAGCTTCTGGGCGACAGCGGCTTTGATCTTGGCCACTAGATCGTCATAGATGATCGAGTTCGCGGTGTCAGCCATGGTGTCTTGGAGGCTTGGCTGCCGCGTGATGCGATGGAGGATTGAGGAAAAGAGAGTAGAGGAAGTTGTTGATGATGGGGGAAGAGTGAAAGGCGTTTGAGGTGCGCCGAAGATGGAATGATGAAATTCTAGAGTGACGAAGAGGCAAGGAGGAAACGCCAGGTGAAGTTTGAGAGAAAGGGCGAGGTGCCTTGGGGGTCCTTCTCTGCTTTGCTTCCGTTCCGGGCCGAGTCTGCCTCCTTCTTCATCGCGATGCCTCGAAAACGGGAGGAAACAACCCCCTTTGGGCCACTCAGAGGTCGTTGACCACGTGATGGGCGGTCAAACTAAACGGAAAGAGCCTTTCAAGAGGCTGCCTATCGAGGACGGGGGCTTCAGTGACTCTCTTCCCGTGCCCGGGTTGGGGGGTTGAGGTGAGTTGTGGTAACTAAGTGTTGACGGGACGGGGCACTTGGACGGGAGGCGGGGACACAGTCTTGAAGTATTGGAGGGACCCGGCAAAAGAATGACAAGGAAGCAATCCTCGAATCAAGAAGGCAGGGCATTGCTTTGTTAGAATAGAGCAGGCTGCGTCGAATGGAGTTGGCATATCCGCAGCCTGGGTTGCTGCAAAGTCTTTGATATCAAAGACTGGTTGGGCTGTTGAGAGTTAAAGAGACTTAAAGAGGCTTCAATGTATCTGAAAGTAAGTCAATACTGAACTGAGAAATGGGCACTTTGCTAATTGAAAACAGTCCCGTTGAGAGTTACCTTCACCTCGAGAGAAGCAGAGAGACGAATTATCCTCCGACTACTTGACCTCATCGCAAGATATCAACCAGATAAACATCGAAACACGTCGGCCATAACTTCACCCGCAAACGCAAAGTCTCTCTCTACCTTCTCGTTCAGGCCCCAGGCCTCCTGGCTGCCATCCAGCACCGTCGCCCTCCTCATATCCCTCCTATGGCCTCCGACCACTGGCGTCCCTCGATGGAGAGTACAAGTGTTATCCCACATGACCAAATCACCCACTTGCTTCCACGGAACAGAAAACATAAACTTGTCCTGCGTGGCGTGGCGGTAAAGGTACTCCAGCTTCTCCCTCCCTTCATCACCATCGAGACCTTCAATGTGGTGACAGTGCGACGGCACAAACAGGTTCATCCTTCCGCTGGCCTCATGGAGCTGGGCGATCTTGTGTTTAGACATTGGATGCTTCGCCGGCTCGAGCTTCGTAAAGAAGTCTGGACACGCCTTTTTGCGGGAATACCAGAACGAATGGCCGGCGACATAATCCTTGGAAATGAGTTCCTGCTTCCACTCCTCGGGGAGCCCATCCCACGCCGCCGGCGTATCGGCGAAGTCGGTATTGCCACCCGCCTCCAAAGGGGGAACCTCGTGGGCCAAGAGGATTGAGTAGCTTGCTCTTTGGGCGTTGAAGCTGCTGTCGACATGGAAGAGCGTGTTTCCCTGCCCAAACGTCAGAGATGGTGCTCCCTCCCGAGTCCCCGCTTAGTTCGACACAAGTTGGGAAAGACATACCTTGCTGATCTGAGCACGCGGATCTTGAGAACTGATGACGTTGCCGTTGGCGTCGACGTTACCCTGGTCCGTCAACTCGGGCAGACTCATCCGCGAAGGCCCGCCGGTGTCTTTGCGGCGTTCGAGTTCGCCGAAGAGGCTGGCGAAGGCGACGTGGCGTTTGTCGTCTAGGCCTGTAGCTGGGAATACTAGGACTCCATACTACACCTCGAATGATTAGCAAAAAGTCTGAATAATTATGGAAAAATTGCTAATACAGACCTTTGTGATGGCAGCTTGGATCTCTTGGAAGACGTCTTCTGTCAGCGGCTTGGAGAAGTCTACCCCGCGGATCTCTGCTGCGAAGGTGGGATGGAGGGGTTCGATGGTGAGTGGCATGTTGCCCAAATTTCTCTGCGTTTCTCTGCTAACACAGCGATAGGTAGTAGCTCCCAAGCAATTCTAGTCTCAGTATATGAGATAGTAGGGACCAAGTTCAAGTCAGACAACCGAACTCCATGTCTTGGCAGTGGGAAGTCGTACTTAGCCTATCTCGAAAGCACCACTTTTGAATTCGTCGACTTCTATGGTCTATCATCAATTCCTACTCGTCAATACGGATGGTCGATTCAGTTTCAAACCCATTCATCTTACCGCCCCACGAGCTCTTCATTTAAATTGACCTTATCTGTAGGTTATCTCTCCCTTCACGAGTCAGACCCTGCCACCCCATATCATTGACAACGGCTATCACCAGTATAAGCTTTCCGTCGACAGGGCATGTCCCTGTCCGAACGATGTCGTTTGCACTCCAATGGAATTTGGGACGACCGAGGTTCATCCCTTGTGTTCGTCTCTTGGTGCTTTCCGCAGCAGCCCGCCAACATCATCACCGATCTAATAACCTCAACTCTAACCACCATTTTTGCACGTTTCAGGTCGAGCCTTGATCTGCCTCTCACCTTCAGCATTAATACTCAGCCAGGGACTCATACCCAGACTCCAGTCATGCCGTCTCTCCGGCCTCTGCTCAACCCGATCCTGGGCCCCGAGCCCCGCCAACCGGACCGGATCCCCACAGACACCGTGGTCCAGCTCTCCGCCATGGACAGCTCCTGGATGATGCGCATGATGATCATGAGTTGGAGCATGTGCTTCCGCGACGTTCTTGACCCTGCCATGCTCCACGCCTCGCTCTCAGAGCTTCTCACCATCGGCAACTGGAAGAAGCTGGGCGGAAGGCCGCGACTAACGGTAAGTTCTCGTCCTTGCGATGCTCCAAAGCTCCTACTCAGCCTCTATCTGTAAGAGACACTTGAGAAGTATCTATAACTAACAATCATATCAGAAAGACGGCAAAATCGAACTTCACATCCCTCAATCCTTCACGCCCTCCCGCCCAGCGGTCCACTTCACAACAGAACCAAATCCATCCAGTGTCACCGGTCACCCTCTATCCTCAACCATCCCCTCCCTCTTCCTCCCTCACAAAACGAGCAACTCTTCCCCAAACCTCCCCATCATCCTCGACACCCCCTCAACCCTCACCCCTCTCCTCGCCGGCCCCGAAGCACCAAGAACCTTCAAAGACTACACAACCACAGACCGCCCCCTCCTAACCCTCCACATCATGACCTTCACCGACGCAACCTTCGTCACAATAACCTCTCCGCACAGCATCACAGACGGCATGGGCCGCCGCGAACTCGTCGAGAACTGGTGCCGCGTCCTAGCCGGCAGACAAAACCTCGTCACGCCCCTAGCAGACCCGTCCTCTGACCCAATGGGAAAAGTCGCCTCCGCAAAGAAGCAGCGCTACGACGAGCCGTTCCTATGGGAACACAAGAGGTTAACCGGCTGGGGTAAAGTGCGGTTCACGCTCGGCTTGCTGTGGTACCTCCTCACGAACCGCATCCGCCAGCGAAACATCTTCATCCCAGCCGCAGCACTCCTCCGCCTCCGCGAGCGTGCCGAAGCCGATATAGCGACAGCCGTAGGTGAAGAACCGACGACAACAGGCCGCCTCAGCGACGGCGACATCCTAACAGCATACCTCGTCCGCCTAGCCTGCTCCCGCATCCCTTCCTCTCAACCCACGAAACCAATCTCCATCTCTACGGCCCTCGACCTCCGCGGCCGGCTGCACTCAGACGACCTGCCCCCCGGCGAAGCACACGTCTCGAATCTGGTAGCATACAACTGGACCAATACCACAGCCCTTGGCCTCCTCCACGTCCCCTTTGGCAAAGCCGTCGCGCTGATATGTAATTCGGTGCGGTCTCAGCTCACGGATGCGCAGGTATACGCCTCGACTCGACTTACATATACCGCCGTCGCGGAGAGCGGAAGCACGAACCAGTTTACGGAGGCGAGTGGGTTCGTGGTATCTGTTTCGAATGTGGGAAAGGCGAGGTTTCATGAGGTGATTGATTTTAGTCCTGCGATTGTCAAGGCTGAAGAGGGGCCGGGAGATGAAGGGGAAGGGGAGGAGGGGGAGAGGAAGACGCCGAGGGGGAAGATTGTGTGGCAGTGTAATACCCCGCGAATGAGTCTTCTTCCGCCGTGCTTGATTTATATCCAGGGGACAGATCACGAGGGAAATTATTTGGCGCAGATGGTGGTTTCGGAGAGGACGTGGCGGGTGATTGAGGATGAGGTTAAGAGGATGTAGATCCTCGATGTGTTCTACACAAGGCAAATATCACGAGCCCACGCTATTGAGATCATCTTCAACATGCAAATCGGAAACTAGAATTGGGAAGCCGCTCGCTCTCTGAGCCAGAAAGCAGCATATTACTTTGCTGATATCTCTACGGAGTATCATCCAACCACAAATACACCAAAACGCCACGCTACATTAAGTTTGGTCGAAAACAAACCCCTAATACAAAACACGAGGCACCCAAAACGGCGCCTTCTCAAGCTCAACCTCGATCCGGTTCTTGGCATTCAACTCGGCCCCCTCGTCAGAACACCCGACAACCTTGCTACAGTGCTCCACCTCCTGCTTGCTCACCCCCGCCGCGTCGCGCGGGATCCAAATCACCGGCGTCGGCGACGCCATCTCGGGCGGCCAGTACGCCCGACGGGCGTAGTCCGCGGGGTACGTCTCGGTCGGATCGGGCAGGTCGACGGGGATGGTGCGCCGGAGGGTGGAGAAGTCGTCAAAGACGCCCGGGTGGAGCCAGCGGAGGACAAAGTTGGGGTCCGGGTCCGGGGCGGGGTCGATCCAGTGCATTATGTAGCCTATGGGACCCGCGAGACCGTACTGTTCGGCCGTGGCTTGCATTTTCTTGGCGACGGCGCCGGCGGACCAGTCTTGGACGGAGGCCATGAGGCCTGATGCGCCTTCGATGCCTCGGGTGCCATTGACTTCGTGTGTCGGGCCTTCGTTCTCCTCGCCTGGGTCGAAAAAGTCTGGGTACGCGGCGGTGATGTCGGCGTCGGTGAGGAAGTCGTCTTGCGGGTAGTCTGGGGCGACGAAGCCGCCGTCGAGCTCTTCCATCTCGAGCGCGAGGGCGCGGGGGATGTTGTAGAGTAAGGGGAAGATTGCTTCCCGGAGGGAGATGTGGACGAGGGCCGTGAAGATGAGGAAGCCGATCATGAGGACCATGGGGATGTAGGCTGCGCGCAGGGCAAAGAGGCCGACGAGGCAGATTGTGGCGAGGTAGAGGCCGACGAGGAGGTGCATCAGCGCGCGGGGGTATACGAGGCCGCGAGTGTCGATGGAGGCGTCGCTGACGTAGAGGAGGTTGTACTTGTAGACTAGGTAGATGCAGTACAGACCGGCGGCGGCGAAGCCGAGGACGACGGGCGCGATGCAGGAGTAGCTGATGGCTGGTGGGGGTCAGCTTCGAGAAGTGAAAGGGTAGGAGTTCAGCGCGGCTTACCGATGACGCCCATGTTAGTGAAGACGGGGAAGACAGCACCCCAATGCACGGGTCGCTCTCTGTGCCAGATCCTGAATAGTCCACGAGGGTTATCGAAGCCCTTTGCCATGATGTGATGGCGGAAGATGTCGAATGCTCGCAGCAGAGACGCAGCACCGACAGCTAGGCACTGGATGAGGATGTAGGATATGTAGAAGTTGGAGGACTTGGGCAAGTTGTCGGCCAGTAGGTCCTTTGCTGAAAGAGGGTCTTTCAGGACTTGTGTAAGAGCCGCCGATGCAGCGGATGTAAGAGTCGTGATCAGGAAGACCTGAACTACTTGGAACGCAAAATAGGCGTGTTGTACGAAGAGTTCGATCAGGGAGAGCGAGGGAACGCCGGCAACCCTGGCGCAACCTTTGCAAAAGTCAGCAGGGTGATTCAAGGGGTCGAAATGTGCTACTCACCTCGCAGCATCCAAGGCACGATGGCCATGAGGAACGACAAGGCCAACGCGGGCAGCAAACCACTGATGATACCGGTGACCGGGTCAGGCAGCTTCGTAATCCATGCCAGGAAGGGGAATGTTTCTGACAGGAACTTGATGTTGGAGATGGTTCCGACGATGGCGGATGGGATAGACCAGAATACAATAGCGGCCGTGATGAACGCACGCGTCAAGAAGTCCCTAGCGATGCGCTCGAACCACCGCATCCGAAGGGAGCTCCAGACCACTTCGTCTGGGCGAATACCGATATACCGCGGCGACATGTGCAGCGGGCGGTTGTGCGCCAGGGTCTGATACGCCCGCTCGGCATCAGCCTGGGAGGAGAACTCGACAAAAGCTGTGGGTAGTCGACGACCTTCGCCCTTGAGAAATCCTCGACGCAACTTGTTAATCTGTTGCGTGAGGGCCTTGATGCGAAGGCGCGTCCACTTGATCGTATCGACGCGGCGGAAGAAGTTGGCCAGGGGTCGGTGGTACGGTCGTTCGCTGGCCCCGATCCACTGTGCGGCGACGGAGCCGTTGACGTCGGGCAGAGCGGTGTTCTCTTGGTGCGGGTATCCTTTCTCGGGGTCGTCGGACCGTTCTGAGCTTCCGCTCGATGGCGGGCTGGAGACGGTTTCAGGGAGAACCGGTAGAGCGGCGGCAATCGCCTTGAGTTGCTTGTTCCTCCGTTTGTTGGCCATCTTGATCAGGCGAATCTCGGCCTTTTCCAACCGCATCGCCGTCTCGTCTCGCTCCTTGACGAGCCTTTCCAAGTCGCTCGTGTCTCGGGGGATCCAGACGTTCTTGACGGTGTCGCCAAACAACTTTCGCATACGGGCGGCATCTTGGTATTTGGGCGGGACACAGCCGAACATGACCGTCCGGGAAGACAGCCGCTTGGAGTAGTAGGGTGATAGTAGGTAGGCATGGCGAAGATTGATGTAGTATATGCATTCACGGTAGATTGTGAAGAGGATAAATCCTGAAGGGAGGGTTAGCATACCGCAACCATCGTATGGAATAGGGGGCACCTACCGAAG